ATATAGTGCCATTCCTTAATCTATTTAGCATCATTCCTTAAATTATAATGTGCCATTCCTCCATCTATATAGTGTAATTCCTTCATTCTTCCATCTGTATAGTGCCATTGCTTCATCTATAAAGCACCATTCCTCCATCTACATAGTGCCATTCCTCCATCTATATATATCACCATTCCTCCATCTATATAGTGCCATTCCTCCATCTATATATCACCATTCCTCCATCTACATAGTGCCATTCCTCCATCTATATATCACCATTCCTCCATCTATATAGTGCCATTCCTCCATCTATATAGTGCCATTCCTCCATCTATATATCACCATTCCTCCATCTATATAGTGCCATTCCTCCATCTATATAGTGCCATTCCTCCATCTATATATCACCATTCCTTCATCTATTTAGCGCTAGTCCTCAATTCCTTCATCTATATAGCACCACTCCTCCATCTATATACTGCCATTCCTTTATCTATACAGCACAATTTCTCCATCTATATAGCACCATTTCTCAATTCCTCTAGCTATGTAGCACTACTACTCTCTCATCTATATAATGCTATATAGTCCAGCAGGATCCTCCATCCCTGCATTGACATAGCACTGTACATAACGGATAGATGAATCTGCAATGCAGGATATTGTATCTGATTGGATCCAACCTACAATTTTTCTGCTTCAGTTTTTCAGCTGAAGGATGTCCGGAGGGAGGACGGGTGCCAGCAGGGCCACCCACAAAGCAAATTTTAGCCGGTTCATCAGGAACTGGTCCAAATTCTCAGTGTATGACCAGCTGTAGAGTTCTGTTATTCAGCCCCCCGAGCTGAACAGAATAAGCCAAGCTGCATAATGTACAACATTTCAGTGTAAATCTAGATTTCCCAAGAAAAGTTCAGTCCGCTTCACATGAACCATATACACTTTGAAAGATATTCCGGAAACTGTTGAAGCGATCTCTTGTTACTTAGTCTATTCTGAAGAATTTTAATATAAGCCTTCCTAATTAAAGAACTCTTCCATTTATTCTCATCCCTTGCACAGTCTAAAGCTGGCCATTGCAGCCTGACTTTTCTCCGATTCCTGCTGAATCAGCCGCTATTCATGCCATGGTTGGCCCTGCAAACACCATCCAGCTTGACTAAAGTCAATTTAAAAATCGTCTGAAATGATCTGCCGAACAGTGATTGTATCCAATCTGATGCAGTGACTGTTGGGATATTCAGGCAGCTGCGGGTGTCATGGCTGTCTCAATACAGTTCCAGAAACCATAGAAATACAGCAAGGAGTGTCAGACCAAAATCGAATGAAAGGTTTCTAGATCATTTTAATTGCTGGTAAAAAAAGTTATATAAAAACCTCCAATGCGTTTCGGAAGGCAAACACTACCCCCCCTTCATCAGTGCTGCATGAATAAAACACAGTCATGAATGAAGAAAATTGATGTCTAAATGTGCATATGAGTATATACCACAAATTCTAGAACATCACAAAATAACTATTCATTCTGATCCTTTTTGGCCAATATGCATGTTCATATGTTTTTTAGAATGCACATTTTTTAAAGCCAGACATCATAGCTTTCATAGTGCCACATCCAAAACATACATAGCAAAACAATCCAACAAAGCGCCTTGTACGGTGAATGGTGGACTTTAAGGGCACAGCATGAGACAAACCAAATACTTAAAAATGATACACTTTATTATACAAATCTAAAAACATTATTATTATTATTATACAGGATTTATATAGCGCCAACAGTTTGCTCAGCACTGTACATTATAATGGGAGACAGTACATGAGACAATACAGTAACAATACAATTCAATACACGAGGGGTTCGAGGGCCCGGCTCCTTGGAGCTTACAATCTAGGAGGGAGGGGATAGTGGTACAGGAGGAAATAGCTGTGGGGGATGGAGTGGTAGGAAAAGTGGAGGAGATCGGTAATTAGGTGAGGGTAGGGTAGGCTTCCCTGAAGAGGTGGGTTTTCAGGGTGCGCCTAAAGGTGAGGAGAGTAGGTGATAGTCTGATGGATTGGGGTAGAGAGTTCCAGAGGATGGGGGAAGCCCTGGAGAAGTCCTGGAGACGGGCATGGGAGGAGGAGACCAGGGAACTAGAGAGAAGGAGGTCTTGTGAGGAGCGGAGAGTGCGTTTTGGGTGGTACTTGGATACCAGATCAGTGATGTAGTTTGGGGAAGAATTATGGACAGCTTTGTACATCAATGTTAGCATTTTGAATTTTATCTGTTGGGCAATCGGAAGCCAGTGGAGGGATTGGCAGAGGGGGGTGGTGGATACGGAGCGGTTAGTAAGGTGGATGAGTCTGGCTGCAGCATTCAAGATCGACTGAAGCGGGGATAGCCTGCGGAGAGGTAAGCTGATGAGGAGGGAGTTACAGTAGTCAAGTCGTGATATAATAACGGAGTGAAAAACATGATATAAAAAGCTGTTTTAAACAAGCAAACTGGGGATACCCCTCTATATATGTGTATATTCCCTCTACAAGTACAGAACATGAATAATCATTACTGTGGATGGTACAAAATACATCCATATAATCAAGATGCTCTTGGCCAGTTCTCACGGGCAACGCGTTTCGCTAGTGTTGTAGCTTCTTCGTGTCTGTATGACATAGTGGGAGTGACTGCTATTATCATTAATCAAATAAATACAAATTAGACTTCTCACAGCGAAACGCGTTGACCGTGAGAACTGGACAAGAGCATCTTGGGGTTATATGGATGTGTTTGGTACTATCCACAGAAATGATTATTCAACGAGCAGAGGGCCCTGATCTTTAGAGCTTACAATCTAAGAGGCAGGGAATGCTGTAAGGTAAAAAAAACATTTTAGCTTTAGAACCACTTACAGTACATGTACATGGGTTACCCATTATTCTAAGTTGGGGTGGGCAAGTGGAAGCATGAGAAACTGGGACTGTGGTGGAGGGACAAACTTCGTTCTTTTCACTATTAACTTTGTGCCTTGGAAAATTGAGGAAGCTGACGGGATCAGGGAGACATGACAGTGGAGGCATTTAGAGTCGGATAGGGACAGCTAAAGGGCCGGATGTGGCCCTGGGGCCGCAATTTGTCCACGTCTGTTTTTTTTTTTATTTAAATATTTATTAATTTTTCAGATAAACAAGTTATACAAACTTACTCATTAAAAAACGTTAGCATATTATCAAAACATTTATCATTTCGTCCCTCCCCCCCCCTCCCCTTACCTATATACCATCCATCCCCCCCAATCCAATCCCTGACCCCTTCTGCTCTGCATTTTCCTGTTCATTTCTGGAGATCGTAATCCCTATAAAGGAAGAACAAAATATGTTTCCATATTCTTCTATGTTAATCCCCCATAACCTCTAAGGCTAGCCTTGACTTTTTGAATTCCTCCCATTGGTTCCATCTTGTATGGTGACTCTCCATCTTATCTTCATTCAAATGATAGAGTTCCTCCAATTTACATATTTGATCCTCCCAGTCCAGGTCTGTTTTAAGTGGTGTTAGTTCACATCTCTGCAATGCACTGCCCTTTTTTGATGCATTGACGCACATTATTGTCTGGTATCGGCTCATTCGCAGCACAGTGGGCATTATAATGCACAGAAAAGCCATGTGCATTGACGCTCATTAAGATGTGTTTTCCAGCACCTTGTGCTGCATTTTACTGCGCTGTGATGTGCATTTTTAAAAAGGCAATGGCAGTGCATGAAAACGCAGCATTGTTGATAACGCCTATGAAACGTATGAAAATGAAAAATGACAAACACAGATACTCCTGCACTTGGGGGGTGGAGCAGGGGCGGACTGACAACTCATGGGGCCCCTGGGCAATAGGGGATCATGGGGCCCCTGTGTCCTTGCCCAAACTCAAAAAAGCCTATGAAAAAGGTACCAGGGGCATCTCATGGGGCCCCCTACTGATCCCGGGCCCTTGGGCAGTGCCTGAGTTTCCAAATGGTCAGTCCGCCCCTGTGGTGGACTCAACGGAGGCTACAACCACATCTCGAATGTCCGGGATAGTGCACGCCTTGCTGCCCTCAAAGGATCAGGGAATGTATGGAAATGCAATCCAGCCTTAGCCAGCGATATGCCTGAAAGGATCATTCTCTGATGGTGGATACTTCTGTATTGATCTCGTCACTTTTTGGAAATAGTAGACATAAGAAAAAGTGATTGTTTGAGCATTGATCGATCTTGCCATACACTATACAACCAGCTGGGAACCAATGTGACTATTTGCAATGGATCCAGCCTCATTCATCTCTGCTTCATTAACACAATTGGGCCAATGTGTTCAGATTGGTATTGAAAACCAATTCATAATTGATGGAGTCGATCGAAATATTGAAACAATAGTGGTTGGACCTATTCGTGTATTGTCAGTATTACGTTTGATTGGTGACAATGGAATATATTCGATTTAAAAAAAATAGGATTGCTGTGTAATGACAGCTGCTTACAACAACAAAAAATCTGTGCTGCCCATAGTGACCAGACAGGCTTCAGCTGTCATTTTTCTAGTGCAGCTTAGTAAATGGTAGCAATGGCCAGGGTCATGCTGCCTATGCAGCCTATGCAGGCAAGGGGAAGGGGGCAGCACTGAGGAAGAATTGCATGTTTAGCCCCCCCACTTCCCTTAACCTACAACAGTCTGATTCCCAGATTCTGATTGGTTACTTTGGGCAGTACAGGCATTTCTTCTTTTAGGTCAGGGGTGTCAGCTGTTACGAAACTACAAGTCCCATCATGCCTCTGCCTTTGGGAGTCATGCTTGTAACTGTCAGTTTTGCAATGCCTCATGGGACTTGTAGTATGGCACAGATGCAGGACCACCAGTTTGACACCCGTGCTTCTCCCTGTCCTCATATGGGGCACCTTACAAGATTGGATTGGATACAGGAATCTGAAATGATGATGTCTGCTTTTCTTTGGCCAGGTGGTGGCGCTAGGGGACGTTCCAGATGGCACGCTGGTCACCGTGATGGCGGGCAACGATGAAAATTACTCAGCCGAGCTCCGCAACGCCACAGCGGCGATGAAGAGCCAGGTCGCCCGATTCAATGACCTAAGATTCGTCGGGAGGTCGGGAAGAGGTAAGGGCGGCATATTATAAATGTACGCTGTAAATTGGACAATGTATGGATTACACCCGTGACTGAAGATGCGTTGGCGTTATCCATGGCAGCCAATCAGATTCCCCCTTTCATTATCTAATCCGCAGTGGAAAAATCTTAAGAATGCTTTATCCAGATTCTGAATGGTTATGTCTGATTCGGAGGGATGCTTAGGCTAGGTGGAACCCGCTAAAGATACAATGTATCTCCTATACATCATTAGACTAAACAATTAGATTGGATATGCAGTTCAGAAAAAATATGAATAAATTAATTTTTTTTTTTTAGTGAACGGTCCCGAAAAAAAATGTCCTTGGTTAACAAAAAAATGTTTTCTATTTCTTTATGGAAGAAATAATTCAATCAAGAGTGCTGTTCTGTATATAGAATTGTAGGTTCTCCCCCTAGTGGTCATTTGTATAACAGGCAGCACAGTGAGAACCTCTTCTAAATGACCATTGAAACACTTGGATAATGCCCACTTACCTTTTTTTTTTATCCTCCTGGCTCTCTCATTTAAAAGTAAAAAATGCACGATTTCTGCTCCTACCATGCGTAAAAAAGAGCAAAAGATGTACAAACAGACATGCAAAAAAACTGCCTCGAAATTGCCTAGCATCGCTCTTGCTAGTTGCCTGGCTGTCATGTGGATCCAAAGTCTTCAGGACTTCCTGAGGCCAAATATTATTATTATTATTATACAGGATTTATATATTGCGCCAACAGTCTGCGCAGCGCTTCACAAAATGTGGAACAAAGGCAGAAAATGAAGGAAAATCTCCCGGAGGGGTTGCAGACGGCAAATAAAATCCTGGCTAGGGGTTTAACCAAACCTTGTCTATCCAAAACAAATAAAACGTTATTAACACAAAACCGAAAATTTAATATATTGCAGCTTACCAAGCATTGGATGTGGGGGCTGCATTAGTTTTCTTTTTCTCCTCTGTTTTCACCTGGTGATCTGGCCAGTAACACTCTTCCTGTATTACCCCGGGTTCACACCTAAGCGTTTTCCGGAGCGTTTTGCAGAAACGCAGTACAGTCCATGTAACATGATTTCCTATGGGACAGGTTCACATCTCCGCGTTTTCACCGGGTGCGCTTTTTGGAAAGGGTCAGGGACTTTTTTTTATGAAAAAGTTGTGTTTTTGGTTCTATAGACTTCAATGGAAATGCTGCAAAAAAGCATGTAGTGTGTTTTTGCTGCATTTTTGATCCGTTTATGCTGAATTTGTGATGCGTTTTTGATGCGTTTTGCATTTTAAATCTGCCTAGCAACAAGAAAAATGAAAAAAAAAAAAAAAAAAAAACGCAGCACATTGGCTAAATGGTTTGCACTTCTGCCTGGCAGTACTAGGGTCGTTGGTTTGAATCCCAACCACAGCACCACCTGCCTGGAGTTTGCATGTTCTCCCTGTGCCTGTGTGGGTTTCCTCCGGGTACTCCAGTTTCCTCTCACCTCTCACACTCCAAAGACATGCTGGTAGTTAATTGGATCCTGTCTAAATTGGTCCCTAGTATGTGTATGTATGAATGTAAGTTAGGGACCTTAGATTGTACACCCCTTGAGGGTTAGGGACTGATGTGAATGTACAATATATATGTAAAGCGCTGCATAAATTGACGGCGATATATAAGTGCCTGAAATAAATAAATAAATAAAATGCGTAAAAATGCTTTAAAAACTCAGGTGCAAAAACGCAATGCAGAAATGGCTCAAATACAACCTGCATAGGTGTGAACCTAGCCTTAGAGTGTCCCCACTCTGGATGAAGGAGCACAGGGGGCACCTTTGGGCAACAACATTGTCAGTAGTTTGGGGGGAGGGTAGTGTTTGATGTACTAGCAGATTTCAGTACACTAACAAATAAAGCTGCACTCCAGCTCTCACTGTATAAGCATTTTTTTCCCTTTTGGGATAAAGGTTTTACATGAATAAAAGCTGATCATTGTAAGCATCCCTGTCAGTGGTAAATGGTTTGTCTCATCTCTGTAACTGATACATTCTGCTGGAGAGCTTGTTCTTTTGAAACACAGCAGATTTACTGGCCAGATCACTAGATGAAAATAGAAGAGAAATTAAAAAGAAAAGTAATGCAGCCATCACATCTAAGAACTTCTGCCATATAGTAAATGTTTGGTTTTTGGTTTCATACCGCTTTAACGTGACATTAGGGCTCCATTCCCACTTGTGGGACTTGTCATGTAACTTTGGACATGACAAGTCGCATGGCAGGTTTGCAGCCCATTCTTTTCAATGGCACCTGTTTGGATCCTGTGCGACTTAAAGTTGCAGCGATTTTAAAAAGCTGTTTGCACTGCGTTGATGCGACTTGATGCAGTCCAGAGAGTGTAAAGTCGCACTGCAAAGTTGTACAGTGAAATTGTGCGACTTTGGAGATGCACAAGTGTGAATGGAGCCTAAACGATATTAGCATTCGCCAAAAATAATCCATACATGTCCCCTAATTAATGGCCCTGTAATCTGTTTTATATGAAATTGTTTCTTACTGTGCTTTTCTGCCTCCTTAAAACCTCCCCTGTGAGCTCCCAAACTGCTCTTTTTCCCCCTCGCTTCCCCTTGTTTGGGACAAGCAGGGCACGTTAGTTGTGGTCACATGTACATTGCTCTATGCACACTACAAATCTCTAAGTCCATCTCAGGAGCGCGCAAGAGAGGGTGGCTACATTCCCACACTCAGAGAACGAATGTAGCCCACCCTCTAACAGTAAGTCAGATCACAAAGGAAAAGGAATCAGGAGATTTGGAGGAGGCTGAGAGCAATAGAAAGACTTTTTTGTGTTAACCATTTCAATACCGGGCAATTTTACACTTCCTGCCCAGGCCATCTTTCACGTTTCAGCGCTCTCACACTTTGAATGACAATTGCGCGGTCATACAACATTGTACCCAAACTAATATTTTATCATTTTCTTCACACAACTAGAGCTTTCTTTTGGTGGTATTTAATCACCGCTGGGGTTTTTATTTTTTGCTAAATTAACAAAAAAAAGACCAAACATTTTGAAAAAAAATACACGTTTTTCTTTGTTTCTGTTATAAAAGTTTACAAATAAATAATTGTTCTTCATAAATTTAGGCCGAGATGTATTCTGCTACATGTCTTTGGTGAAAATAACCCAAATTAGGATGTATTATTTAGTTTGTAGGAAAGTTATAGAGTTCACAAACTATGGTATAGATCTGAATATTGATCAATCCTGAAGTACTGACGGCCAATCTAAATTTCTTGAGGTCCAAGAATGTCAGAATAGTACAGATATCCCCCAAATGACCCCTTTTTGCAGAGTAGACAGTCCAACGTACTTCATAAGAGGAATGGCGAGTTTTTTGAAGTTGTATTTTTTTTGTCATAGTTTTTCGGAAAATTAAAAAATTAAAAAAATTATTTTCACTATTTCTTTTTTACATACTGTCACCAGTGCGGTACAGCGTCACCATATAACTGGCATGGCGGTGAACAGGGACACTGACTGGTGACAGTATGAAAAAAAAATATATATATATATTTTTTTTTTTTTTATCATTTTTTTTTTTTATTTTTATTTTTTACATTTTTTTTATTTTTTTTAAGATTTTTTTTTCATATTTTACTATGACCAAAGTAGTACAATGTTACCATAGTAACATTGTACTACTTTGGGGAAGTGATCAGTATTTTTTTTTTTTTTTTACACAATTTGCTTATAGCAAAGAATTACTTTACTATAAGCAAGCATTTACCTGAATGAAATCAGTTTTTTTTTTTTTTTTTTGTTTTTTTTTGTGCTTAGCTGTGATTTGGCCACAGCTAATCACATGACATGTGCATGTGACCTACTGTGACCATTCACAGCTAGGCACTAGTATACAATGGATGGCATGAATGAAGCCATCCATTGTATACAACTGTCATGTGACCTGCTGTGATTGGTCACAGCAGGTCACATGGTACCGGCAACGGGGGCCGGTACTCAGATCTGTCATCGGCCGTGTCCGAGGTACACGGTCGGTGACAGATCGCGCCGCTGCGCGGCTCTGCAACCGCGTGAACTGCGCATGTGCGGGAGGACACCAAATGGCGTGCACCCGGAAAGCTAGAGCATTTTTGCGGCCGCCAAACGGCTATAGGCCGGGCAGCTAATGGTTAAAGTGGTTGTAAACTGTTACCTATACCCAGTGAAGTGACTGGCCTCAGGTGATACACAGAGATGAAACAAATCCTCCGACATAAGTTGTACCTGTTTATCTGCAGTCTTCTCTTCTCTACATCCATTCAAAGTGCAGAATTTACACAGGATCTCTAAGCTCTGAAAAGAAGGGGGTGGAGAGCTGAAGTTAAATCAGTGAGGAGATCTGAGTGCTGATTGGAGGAAAGGACACACACCCCCTTCACACAGCTTACAGGAAGAGAGTTGAGGTTGTCAATCTGCTGCAGGTTCCTCCCCTGTCACCAATTTTCTCTTGGTGTCAGGAAAACTTGTCAGAAGTGACTCATGCAGATAGCAGAGGAAGGAAGCAGCAGACAGAAATGACACTCAGTGCTCTGGATAGAGACAAGTACACTCTATAAAGAGATATGCTTTGTTCATATTTCATGTCTGAGGTTTACAACCACGATATATTTTTTTAGTTCAGAATTTAGTGTCACTTTAAATAAACTTTAACATTACCAAAATGTGAAAACTTGATTGCTACAAATACATTTTTAACCGCCCTGTCACTCCCAGCGCGCCGCTCGCCATACCAGAAGGCGCTGTGATTGACAGCTCTAAGAGGTTATTATTCCAGCTTGTCACCATGCTGAGGTCATGAGGCCAGGACGGATTTTACAGAACACACCCGCATCGCTGGCATGCCAGTCCGGCTGTAGACACGGGGTCATGTGACTGTGACATCACAGGCGCCCGTTGTATGACAAGTGTTTGATTGACAGCCGTCCGCCGTGACTTCCTCTCGGGGCGGCCATGTGCGCCATCTGACATATTTATCCATCAG